GTTTCTATCATTACATTTGATTTGATTTGTTCCTGCTCCCGGTGGTTGGAACCTTTATTCCATTCGGGATTCTTGTGAGTTTAGTCTTTGTTCACTTCACAATAAAAAAGAAATAAATAAACAGTTTTGGAAACTTCTGTATTCATTCTTTTCCTTCTTTGTGTGTCAACGTTCACGGTTGCTAAGCAACAGAGCATATGGCGGTAAAACACACCAAAGGGTAGACCTGGTCGAATTTACAGCCAAAACTCTTCCGGTCTCCTTAGTTTCAAGGACTTCGAAGGATCCAGTCTAGGTAGACCGCGTCCTTGGAGGACCCGTGCTAGGTTTTCGAACAGTGCCTCTCTCTAGAAGTTGCGAACTGTGATTTAAAGAGTTTGTCTCAATTGATCTCTTTTCAGAAAAAAGAACCAGAGAGGTAGTGTCAGGGTTCTGCCCTCTGCTTGGGTTTATTTTTACGTTTGTGTTCTGTGTCTTTGTAGTTTATTTCTACCAATGCTGAGTTCCTTTCCCCTTCACTTTCTCCCAGTTGGTCCTGCACACACCTGCTTCATATCTGCTGGTTAGCTTGTCTTGGTTCAGTCTCCCTATATATACCTCAGCTCTGCTGTGCTGGTTTGTTGTGTTTGTTGCTTCCTCATTTCTGGTTCCACACTTAACTATTAAATCAGCAAGACTCAACTCTGCCTCCTGATCTCTGCCTTTGGGTCCTCAAAAACCTCATCCAACCGTGAACGATAGAGCTATCTGGTGCAGACACAGATCCATCCATCCACCCATCCATCCATCCATCTTCTTCCGCTTATCCGGGGTCGGGTCACAGGGGTAGCAGCTTCAGTAACTTGTGTTGATGTTTACATAAAGCTATGAAAATCAATTTAAAAAAAGAAAGAGGATGTTATCTCTGATTGAATAGTTGTTTTGGAAATGTTTATAGCCGTGGTAGAGAAAGAGCACTATTTATTTCATTTATTTAGTTCACAGAAACTAAAAATCATACCGTTTCATTGGAATTAAACGGTTAAAAAGCGGAAGTCTCAAAAGCAAGTCCTGTAATACCGCCTCTTGCCACAAGATGTCACTGCTTTGCAGTTTAAAGAAACTCTCAAAAAGGAGTCTTTTCAGAAAATCGTTCATCTATGTGGCACAAGTGGGCGCGGTTTGATCAGAGCAATGCATTCTGGGATACTGTGTTCTTTTAGAAGAGGTTGCCGTGAAAAAACAATGGGACGCTGTTACTAAATGACTACAAGTCCCGTGTTTTAAGGGGGAGTGTCATTTCAACGTCCGTGTTTCCATACACCCATAGAGGTGACCCCTCCGCTCTCAGTCCGACTCTGAACAGGGAGAGCAGCAGCCGAGCCAACCAACTCCATCCTTTACTAGAAATGGTAAGACGCTCCAGTTATGCTTTAAAAACGTCAGCATATCGTGTTTTAAATGTTTCTGTTTTTCGATGTGAACCAAATGTCACGCAGACGGCGGGAACAGCGCTCCTCTAAATGATGCTAAAATGCTAATATAATTTCTGATCTCTGCTAACTGAAGGACGGGATGTGACGCAGCTACTGCAGCGTTGATATGTTGGCACGTGCATGAATGCAATAATTACAAATTAATAAATTAAATTAAAATGAAAATGACAGCGGTGCGGATTAATTTTATGCCGCTGCTCGGCGGAGATTTCATACATCTGCATCCGCTTTGATAGGAGCTGACGGTGGCGTCATTGTGACGTCACCGGGCCCCCTTTATTTCAATCTGTGCGATCAACCAATCAGGATCGACTTGATTAGGTCAAATCTCCACTAAAAGCACCACTTGTTTATTAGTTTTTTGTTGGAAAATATGATGTTAGCTGGTTTATCTACAGGAACAGATGTGATGATTAAAGTTTAGATGTCTGCAAACCGATAAAATTCAAAACTAATGACTTGTTTTTGGAATTCAGATCAATATTGTATTTGTAAAGGAATTGCAGTGTGACGTGTTTCTCCTTGGTGTGAAGGACAGAGCTTCACTGTGGGACTAGTTGCTGAAGATGACCTTGTGAACCAGCAGCCTAACAGCAGGGTTAAACCAGTTTACCCTCCTTACATAAAAATGTTAAAACGCTCCGACTGAGCGATCCGACCAGCAGTGCAGGCTGCTGCCATGACACGTTCAACTAATTCATTAACTCAATAAAACGGGTTTTCTTCTTCCCCCTCCAGGCTGAACCGATCCGTGTTGTGGTGACTGGTGCTGCCGGCCAGATCGCCTACTCCCTGCTCTACAGCATCGCAAAGGGAGATGTGTTTGGGAAGGAGCAGGTGAGATTCACTCTCAGCTTTTATTTTATGACGTTACGTAACGGCGTTACAGTGAATCATGTATGCATCCTAGCAATAAGCATGATTCAGGGAAGAAAAGAAACAATAATGTTGCAAACTATTCTGATAATCAGTGGTTACTGAAACATTGTATCCATATCAACTTTAGGATGGTCCTTGGAAAATTCTCTAAATGCTTTTATTACTTTAATTTGCTCAAAATGTAATGTTTTACACGCTGCAGCTGAGCTGAAAGAGAAACCTTTACCCTCGTAAAAATAAAAATCCCACAGATCCAAACTAAGACCAACATTCTGAATGCTGTGGCTGCTTAGTCCTTGATTTATTTCCTTGTTTTTCCCGTCCTGTCATCAGCCGATCATCCTGATCCTGCTGGACATCACCCCCATGCTGCCTGTGCTGGATGGAGTGGTCATGGAGCTGCAGGACTGTGCTCTCCCACTTCTGAGGGGTGAGCACTTCATTTAGTTTCCCCCCCCCTCCCATTGAAACAGGAGGATGTTATTTTTAGTTTCTCGGCTTAAAGACATGTTCAGTAACTGATTATTCCTATAATCCACTTTATTCCAGGATGTTTTAATAAAGAAAAAAAAAGCGATCCAAACAGATCGCTGAAGTTGCACGCTGTCCTTAATGTCTCTGCGTTGTCCTTCAGAAGTGCACACAGGAGGAAGGAGTGTCAAAAACAAGGCTTTTGATTGGATGCTGGTTCTGGCACCAGAGCGGCCAATCAGAGCTGTGGTGGCACAACAATGCACCGAGAGCAGGACTTAGCACAGATTGAAGTTCAGCCTGATAGCAGCGTTCTGTCGAGCGAGCAAACAGCTAACTTATCATCAGCAGGATCAGTCCAAGCAGCAGGACTTTATCTCTCAGAGGTCCTCAGATCAACATTTCTTAGCTTTGAGACCAGTAGCATAGTATCCATCCCAAGTCACACAGTAGATAAAAAATAAAAAACTTCCTGATGAGCTCATAGTTGCTGAGGTTTATAACCTTCTGTTAAAGTTTTTGGAGCAGTTAAACATATCCAAAAACTCCTTTCCCTGCTTCTATAGAGGTCATCCCTACTGACAAGGTGGAGGTGGGCTTCAAGGACATCGACGCCGCCATCTTGGTGGGATCTATGCCCAGGAAGGAGGGGATGGAGAGGAAGGACCTCCTTAAAGCCAACGTGGCAATCTTCAAGACTCAGGGAGCCGCTTTGGACAAGTTTGCCAAGAAGACTGTAAAGGTGACGCCGCAGGCTTTCTTTGGACTCCATTTCTAGATGTATGGTTGTTAAACTCTGTGTGCTTTACTCCAGATTTAGGGGGAATAATGTAGCAGGATTTTTTTAACTTGGTTCTTTGCATTTAGCTGCTAATCAAAACAGGACATGAAAGTGCTGCGATGAGCCATTTTGGTCAGGAAAGGCCAGAGGAAGCAGCAACACGCAGGCTTCATGTTCCTGCAAAGGGTCAAATCTATGAACAGTCAGTCCACATCTGAAAAGTCACATACATCATTACTTTGTCTCCCAGGATCCTGTTAATTTGGGGACCTTTAAGCGCCTTGATTAGTGAAGTAATCATTTGCAAACTGCTGTATAGAATCACTCTGATATTGTTTAGTTATCGGAAACATTTAAGCCGTTTAAAAAGGAGAAAAAACCAAGAAGGAGTCATAAAATTCTGGCGTAGGTATGTTATATTTTTTAATGTATATTTTACAAACTGCAGGGGGCGTCATTTGCCATGAGCTGCATGCAGTTGCAGTTTCTCCCTTCCTCACTGAGCTGTTTGATTCTCTTCCCTTCAGGTTCTGGTTGTTGGAAACCCAGCAAACACAAACTGTCTGATTGCCTCCAAGTCGGCTCCATCTATCCCCAAAGAGAACTTCTCCTGCCTGACCCGACTGGACCACAACAGAGCATGCTCCCAGGTAAACACCAGAAAAAGATGAACCCAAAAACAAGGCTTTCCATTGTTCCATTGTTAGCCTGTAATATCTGAAACCTGTCTATGATTGTGGAAGGTCAGTCCCCCCTTTAACCACCGGCCTTCCACAATCATACAAAGGTTCAGGCCTTGTTTTTGGTCCACTATATAAAGCCTCAAACTCGATGCAAATCCAGACATTTTGAATTGAGAAAGCTTCCTGGGTGAGAAGCGAAACGTCTTCAAACCTTGGAAACAAAGTCCAGTGGATTGTTTTTTAAACTTTTTCAGAAAGGGTAAATACACTTACTTTAGGAAATCTAGATCTTTTTTGCCGTATGAACCCTTTTGTCTTTTATGTTTTCAATTTCAGGTAGCCTGGTAAACCAGACTAAATGTGAGATTAAATGTGTAATTTAGTCTGGCCCTGATGAATTGGAAGATTGTTGATGAGAACAATCCGTTGTTCTCATCTATTCCTTCCAAAACTGAGTCAAACCAGAACTGTTTAATAGTTGTTGCCATCTTCCTTGTTGTGCTTTCTCCAGCGTCGTGCAGCTTTGTCTTCACGCCCTCAAAACCCCGCCCGCTTTGCATCCAGACATTCGAAACACATCTCTGCGTTGTGATTGGCCAGCCAGTTCTAGGGCCTGAGGCATTGATCGAGGCTAGACCACTCACAGGGGAAAATGATATTGGACGCTGGCGGGTGGCGCTAGTTTTCTAGGCTACATTTCAGGAGCATTTTGCTTCAAATCGAATAGAAATGACAGATTTTAGTCCTTGCTGGTTCCTCATGGGAATCATTACAGGAGAAACATTTCTGATCACCAGACACTGAACCTTCCCCCCAATCAGAACCGTTTTTCACGGTTCTTTATATCTGTGAGGAAGAAACTGAGCCCAGTTAAAACTCTGTTTTACCTCTACCCGACCTGCAGGTGGCGATGCGTTGCGGCGTGTCCTCCAACAACGTGAAGAACGTCATCATCTGGGGGAACCACTCCTCCACTCAGTACCCCGATGTCCATCACGCCAAGGTGAACGTGGGCGGCGGCGAGAAGGCCGCGTACGACGCCGTGAAGGACGACGCCTGGCTCAGAGGCGACTTCATCTCTGTGAGTGCTCGGCCTCCTCTCAAAGACGGGAGCAGCGCCGAGGCCTTTTCTGACTCTCCTTCCTCCTGCAGACGGTGCAGCAGAGAGGCGCCGCCGTCATCAAGGCCAGGAAGCTGTCCAGCGCCATGTCTGCGGCCAAGGCCATTTGTGACCACATGAGGGACATCTGGTTTGGCACCAAGGAGGTCAGTGTGTGCAGAAAGTAAAGGGAGTTATCACTTTGACTAAAATAGTTACTGAGAGGAGAAAGGAGCAGAGAGGCTGTTGCTCCTTCTGAACGCCTCAAATAGTTGTTCCAGCTTCCTTTCCTTTCCCGGGTCAACAGTAGGACTGAAACAATTCATTTGATTAATCAGGATTAATCGCTTATTGAAATAATCCTCAACTAATTTAGTAATCGGTTAATTGTTAACTGGAGTATAGAGACTGTAAAATGTGCCTTTAGCTTACAGAGCGACCCACTTAGAGCAGGAATTATATCAAAATTGTAAAAAAAAAAAAGAATAAGCATCCAGAACCCCTCAGGTAGAAAAGTTTTAGTTTCACCTGGTTTGATTTCAAAAAATCTTCTTTACGGAACCTTTGACTATCCGATTATTAATCAATTAATTGAAAAAATTATCAACAGGTTACCGTAATTTTCGGACTATAAGCCGCAGGTTTTTTTATGTTTAACACAAACTGTCTTGCGCTCGCAATGTCCGTCTTTCTCGCTGTCGTTCTGTCTCGTACCGCTCGCGGTAGAAGTCTGCTTCCGGAGGATCTCCGTATTCCCGCGTTCGCGGCTACCGTACTTGTGTGTTAAAACAAATGTGACGTCAACATGGTGGATGGTAAAATCCATAGATTTAGGTATTACCCTAGTGGCCGTTAGCTGTAAAAGTCCATAGATAAGCCGCATTGTTATAAAAGCTGCAAGGTCGAAAAATGGGGGGAAAAATCATGGCTTACAGTCCGAAAATTACGGTAATCGATTTATAAAATAATGGTTAATTGCAGCCTTAGTCGATAGTAAGAACTCTATCCAGGGTAGGAAAGGAGGTCCAGACTGTTTGTTCTCAATCTGAACAGTCTTACAGATGAACACGCATCGATGACGCTGGTCAAGCTGAGATTACAGCGCTCTGGAAATCAGCTACAAATAAAACACAAGTTATTTGTAAAGTAGCGAACAACCGAAGCACTTTGTTATAAAACTTGCGCTTAAACTTACGAAGCTGTGTACATTAGCATGTATCACAAAGAGCATGGGTGAAGAAATGATGTATCTTTGTTCAACTGTGAGAGGGAGGCAAAGGATTGTGGGTAACCATTACTGCTCCTAGCGGCAGATAGGAACATCGGGAGTTCCTATGCTAAATGATCGATGATAGGAAGCGTCCTGCTTCCTTTTCCTACCTCCTTCCTTACTGACAGCATTATTCACAGCCTTTTGAACAGATTTGCTCTTCCAAAACGGAGCCTTTGATTGGTTCTCTCTCAGCCAGCTTTCCATATTTGGCGTATAAACATTTAACCTGATCCTTGCAAAAATACCTTGAGCATTTCTCTCAGTATCAGTCTTCAAGTCTTCTCACATTAAATTTAGGTTTGAACTTTGACTAAGCTGATCCATCACCTTGTAACATCTGCCACCCATCTATTCTTCCTTAGTTGTCCTATCAGCTGAGATCCTACTAGATCTCTGCATCTCCTCCATAGTTCTGATGTTTTCTTTTTTCTGCCTTTTTCTGATTGTTTTGCTCCACCCGCTTTCGTTTTTGTTTATCTGAACTTTATGTTTGGTTTCCGGCAGGGTGAGTTCATCTCTATGGGTGTGTATGCTGCTGGAAACTCCTATGGCATCCCAGAGGACCTCATTTACTCCTTCCCGGTCCAGATCAAGGTGAGCTGCTGTAAATATTTGCTCTGGAAAAATATATTCTCAATTTTAAAGTCATAGGGAAGTCATATTTAAATGTCAAATCATTCTGGCTTAAACATGTTTCAGATGATATTATCCCCAAAATTTAAAATTTTCTAATTAAAAAAAAAAATCCTGTCTTAAAATCTTTGTTTTTTTAATTATCTTATGCAGGCCAGTTAGTTATATGTCAGCTTGTACACCTAAATTCGGAAAAATTCAAATTTTTTCGGTAGCATCTTGATTCATATGTCGCAGCTAATATATCTAACGGTTGAAATCAGAAATCAGAATACTTTCCTTTCCCACTAAGTTGCGTCCCAGTGTTCACGGGGATGGACGTCTGTGTCTTCGGCAGGCGTAGAGCTAACAGAACTGGCAGCGTTGCGAGGCAAGGGCTCAAACATGTACGGCTGGAAGCCTTCTACACCAAACCAAGCTTCTGCCGCCCTGGCGTCCTCTTCCACAACATCTTCGTCCCCGCTTTCCTCCTCTAAATAAAAAATGGATGACGGAGGAGACTCATCCACGACCTCCGACACTAAACTCTCCTCCTCTTGCATGTTTCCTCTGTCCATAGCGTTCCTTGACAGCGTCGTTTCTAAGTCACCAATTTAGTGCTACTTGGTCCCAATGGAATTTCCCATTGGGAACCTGCTAGCACTAAGTTGCTATCTGGTTAGCAAGATGCTTCCAATAAACCGGCCATAATCAAACATGCTTGTGAACCTTCCGCCACAACAATCCCTTGATAATCGACCAATCACATTCACTTTATTCCCTGGTGTAAAGTCGGGCACCACTAGGGAGAATTTGGAAATGCAACGATTGGAACAGCCGCTTCCCTACGACTTTAAACACCTGAGAGACTTAAGAGAAAAAATCTTTTTGTTTTTAGCATTTAAATACCACATAAGAGTGTTTGAAGCACAACTACAAATAAGTGTTTTCTCTGTCATTCTTTGCAGAACAAGACCTGGAAAATAGTGGATGGACTCCCCATCAATGACTTCTCCAGGGCCAAGATGGATGCCACAGCCACCGAGCTGGTGGAGGAGCGAGACACGGCCATGGACTTCCTGTCCAACTGACTATCCCCCCCTGCTGGCCAACAGCAGCTCTTAGATCCTCCAAAGGCTGGCTGTTCTCGGCTCTGAAGATGTCCTCCACTGTTACGCCATCTGAGCTGCAGTCTGTGTGTCACCTCTGAGTGTGTGTGGGAAGGTGTGTGTGCGAGTGCGTTACTTGGGCCCTTCTTCAGGTTTCCAGAAAATCTGTTCTAACCTCCACAACCCGGCCTCCTCTGTATGCAAGACACCAAGAGAATATCTCTGTTAGTAGATGAAAACGCACATGTTGGCTGTGCAAAAACTGTAACAAACCACCTTCTCTTCAATAAAACCAAGAAAATCCGACCCTCTGTTTTGTCTCTTTTTGCCCATTCAACAAATCAATTATTACTTCACTTAGTTTAAACAAAAAACTCAAAATCAGACTGCTAACATAACTTATCTGACCTCAGATCAGGTCATAAGTTTTGTTCTGCTATTACTTGCAGTACATAATGGTAGCCACATGAGGGCAGCATAATTTCACATTTATGAGGAAAGGTAGCTGAGAGTTTATATGAAATTTTGTGCAGATTTTTTTCCATGTTCTGCATGAATAAAAGTTCCTTTCTTAGCCTAATGACTAGGGCTGCAATTAATGTTTATTTTGCTCATCAATCTTATGTTTTTATTCAATTAATCTGATAGAAAAAGACGCTTGAAAAATATTTAAAACTCACTTGAGGAACTTTGATACAGCATATTCATAAACAAAAATGTTTTTAATCTTAAATGCTCTATATATATACATATATATATATGTATATATATATAATTTTACATAAGTACAGTTCTGAGTTGGTTCCTCTTTCAGCTAATTATAGGCTCTGTACAATCCACTTAGAGGTTAATCAATTATTAATCGAGTTGACGATTATTTCAATGAATTTATCACAAATAACCAAATTAATTGCTTCAGCAACACTTATGTCGTAGCTCTGGAACGCTACTGAGGGAGTTTTTATTTATTTATACGTTATAATAGTGTCCTAAAACGGCAAAACTTTAGCAGATGGCAGCAAAAAATACATTTGCAATAAAAGTGGAAACAAAACTATGAAAGGAGGCTTTGCAACAAAAACGAAGAAAAGTATTTTTCCTAAATTCAAGCGCAGGAATAAGTGGATCTGGGATATTAACATTTTAAAAATGGATCCGCACACTGGAGCTACAACTAGTGTGCAGAACCATTTTTCTCATTTTGTTATCGATGCCTCTGTGATTTAGCTCCTACTCTGAACTTCCTCAGGATATGTCTGATTTTGCTCCTTTTAAAAATGGATCTGCCAATGGAATGTATTTATAGACCTTCAAATAAGATAGCTAGGCATTAATCACTTTAAAATAAACTCCATTATCTTAATTCAACACATTTTATTCCAATAGCAAATGGTCTTCTCTCAAAACATGGAAAAATGCACTAATTCTAATAAAATTAGTTATTTTCCTTTTGTTTTTTTTTGCAGGACGAGCAAAAGCAAATTTGTATAAGTTTAACTTATGCAACTGCATCTGGAATGTTGCTACAGAGGATTTCATGGTCTTGAGGACTCAAAAGTTTAGTTTAGTTTTAGTTATGGGACCACTGGAACTCAAATGTGGGGTTTGAATTAGATTTAGACTTTTATTTATGTAAAATGTAAGTGCAGCAAACCTTCAGAAAGGTTTCAGCCAAAATGGATTTTCAGGAGTCCTATTTTATCAACGTAAATGGAAGGAAGAGAGCCGGGGGAATTTAGGGGTACTATAAATTCGACCAGAGAAATAGACTCTTGTGGCACCAAATTAGGGAGTGATGTTTAGAAGACGGAAATGATCAATGCTGTTTTGGTTTCCCAATTAAATTAGTAGATTATTCATCTTTATTACCATAGTTCCATCGGTTCAGGTGACCCTACAGTTACGGGTGCATTTCTGCTAATCAGGAAAAAAGGCCAACTGGTTGTGGACCAACGATCCAAGGCGTTCCTCAAAAAGTCTATTTGGAGGAATCCTCAGCAGAGACTCTACTTCCTGCAGCAACTCAAGTCCAACCTTCCAAAGCAGTTGCAAGTCAACCAATTCACCACCATCATTCTGTCCATTTTGTGCATCTGTGTCCATCTGTGTTTAGTTTTGCTGATCTAGAAAACAGGACACGTTCAAACTGCAACAAATAACTGCAGAGAGGAACATCAGGGCCGACCTTCCTCACCTGTCTGGGGCAAACATCTCTGCATCTCTTTTTGGTAGATATCTAAAATGTAGTTCTTACTAGTACAAATTTGATTCCAGATTACTTAAAATAAAATTTCTATTGGTAGAAATGTAATTAGTTATATCTATAATACAATTCTGACTAAGAATATTGTAATTCTGACAAGGTAGAATGCTTTAGTGCTATCTATAATAGAAATGTGACTAGTCAGCCTGCCTATTTTACGTTAAAATGGAACCCTATTATTTTCTTGAATATTAGTCAAAATATACTTTTTTTGAGCATCTAAAACTGCATTTTAGATAGGAATTATAAACATTTAGATATCTGAAATTCCAATTTAACTACCGGTAGTCATATATCAATAGTTGATATCTGTAATTATATTTCTACAAGTAGAAATGATGTCAACAATTGGATTTCTGGATATCTAGAATGTTCTATTCATTTTTGATACCTGAAATATTAATTTTGACTAGCATTAACTCTATTATGGAAATGTGAAATTAGAGTTCATCCTTGTCGGAATTCAGTTTTAGATAGGAATTATTTTTATTTATTTTTTTTTGATAGGAAGAATGTTATTAAGTTATCTGGGAGTAAAAGCCCAATACACATAAATGGGAAATATTTTAGATATCTGAAATGTTTTTTTGTTTGTTTGTTTTTTTTTAAGACAGGAAAATGTTCAGTTTAACTAGTAAGAAATGCGTTTGAGACATCTAAAATGTAAATTCAGTCAAGCTAATAAATGTTAAACGGGCCATTTTAAATTTCTAAAGATTTCTTGGTATCTGAAAGTTACGGAAGAGGATTAGGGCCACTGACAAAAAAAAAAGTTAACTGATTTTTTAATTTTATTTAAGTTTAA